GAAGTTGTTATCGGGGCAGTATCAGCATGCAACAACTCCCAGGAAGAACCCATATAAACATTCTATCACTTCAAACGGTGATGTAAATCAAAAGCAGTTCGGTTTCATTGAGTTTGTGTCAACTGGAATAAAAAATGTAAATAAGGATGGTCACACGCATTTTCACAAGGCCAATAAGGAAGGATACTGCAGTTGGTGACATCCTGATACACCTTGCTCCATAATTTGTCAGTGATTGTAACCCACTGTCACTGAAGCAAAATCTCTCAAGCGGTTCATGCCGCCAACTTGTAGCCACCGCAGATCGTGTGGTCACAGCTAACCAATAAGATTGAAAGGATGTAAATAGCCAATCAAAACCCTCAAACATGAATATAAACGCGGACATACTGAGGACTGGGGCTTGCCCAAAGTTACACTGACGATGTTGTCTAGCCTGGCTACGAAACGTCTGCTAACAACACTTCTATGTCGGTGAACACCCCGCCAAGAACATCACGTTTCTAGAACTTATTTTCCTGCAACTTGTTATTCAATAGAAAAGAAATATGAGGAAAAAAGAGGGGAAACGTTACAAGCAAATGCTTAGTAAGATTGCACTTCCCGGTTTGTTCCATGCTATATTTGGTGTAACTAAACTGTTAAAGATCGCTGAAAAGGAAACAAAATCTGTCCATCGCGTCCACTGTCTGTTGGTCATTGCGGTGCCACAGTGAAATTGCGCTGTAAGCCTTTTTGAACTATCAGACTCTCCATCACTCAAATGATTGTAGCCACATGGTATGCAGATTAGTATTACTTTTCGCAGTAGTGGACCTGCTGCAAGAATTAGATGTTCATTTACAGTAGTTACTTCCCTTGGAAGTAGTTGTGTGGTTCAGATTTTTCTAGTGCTTACACAGAACTACTTGCACTAGCTACTTCATCTCACTTGGTGCTAAACTGCCGATTTTACATTCGGAATCGTTGTGGTGATCTGGGCCTACGAGACGACGTGTACGCTAGAGCTACGCGTTACAGTTTTTGGACAACTGCGATAAATCAAACTTCACGAGGGACGTCAGCAACGCGCGTACGTGTCACTGCTTCTGACTACATACCATAGGTTGAGCGTACCACGCAATCAGAGACCATGAGGCCCAGATAGAAGCAGAACGATGGAAGCAATGCTGGAGAGCGATTGATAGAAGCCCAGATAACAAAGAACTTACCTTGTGGGTACTATTTAATCCCAATTTTTTGTTTCAGTAAATGAACTACAACTGCTGAGGTCTTTTCCTCGCGTCTCAGCTACATGGAAAATTGCACGTAAGTACCAGTGCGGTCCAGTGCTTACGTGATCCAGTCCGTGATTGCTGATCCTTTATTCGTATTCTGTGACCTGTATTGCGTGATTCGTATTCCGACTTCAGTGCATACTACTAATACCATTACCACAACCACTACATTCGCAAGCCACCAGCTCAGTGGAGTGAAGGTGGAAGAGAAACTTTTGTCAATGAATAGCAGAGAAGGGTGATGTTGCATGTTAGATAACCATTAGGATACGCTGGATCAATTTCAGTAACATTCTTCGTGTCTTTTTTTACCTAAACACGTGTGAACATCTAATACACAGATTCATTCAGGCGAAAATAAACAAAAATTGTTTCCCTATTAGTTGTAAGCTAAATGCATTGCAGGATAGTTTGATTTTGACTGATTGAGCGTCTGATATTCGAATGATTTTTGGCTTTTCACTGAAATCACGCAACGCAGTTCATAAAATGGTGGTTGGTAAAAGTAGTGTGAAACAAAGAAACAAGAAAGAAATGCATTGAAACACTCTTGCGGGTAATCAATCTGATCGGAGCAATTGCTCAGTTTATCGTCATCGAGGAAAGGAAAATGTCTATCTTTAAGTTGTTTGAAAATTCTACAGCAACAGAAGCGATCGAGTCAGTCAAGACCAGATATAAATGAGTGTGCATTGCATTCTATGTCATGCGTTGGTATTTTGAGATCTATCACTTTTTATCTTCGAACACTTCTTCTCAACATGCAAATGTAAATCCATCCATTGACGTTACAGATGATTCCAAATTTGATGAGAATAAAGTTAAGCTATTTTGGAATTCCCACCATGCAACTAAACAAGTACGTTGCCCATTTTTTGGAGCTGACAACAATAGGCATTATCAAGCAATAGCACAATACCCATGACTTTGAACTCTGTGTAACGTTTTGCTATAAACATATTTCAAAAGGGAAGACCACATCGATTAACTGCTGCATTTCATCGTAGTGCATACTTAAGAAAAGATGCAGCACTTATTTTTTGTCCACATGCTGAGTTGCTTTTCATTTTACGGTAGTTTCATTAGTTTTGATAAAACACAATTTCGTGCGCATATTCCTTTTGCTCAACTGGTAGAACTCTATGGTGTTGTTATGTTAATGAGATCTTCGTTATAAACAACATCACGGACCACGGAGAAAAGCCATTTAATCGATCATACACCATTCATCCCAAAATTCAGCTAGCTTGTTAGCAAGAGCGGGATGACTGCATCGAGCTTTTATTTATGAACATTACTCGTCCACCAGATGGACCAATCAAAATATCTGCTTTTCAAAAGACCACGTGGCCTGAGCAATATTCGCATTTCACGAGTTTCATCCCCATTTAATACAAAATTGGTCTCGTTCGAACACTATTTCATCGTGCTCGGGAAATATACACAGAGGACTCGTTAAACGATGAAAGTGATCTCATAAAAGAACTACTGCACGCAAATGAATTCACCGTCAAGGACAGTAAAGTAATAACAAAGGTAGAAAACCTAGTAACGGTGGCTAAAATACAAATTGTTTTGAAGTTCGTATACAAACGGGATGAAATGAGTGAACCAGTTATCATGAAGTTGAACTCTTCCGCCACGCCTGTTTTTTACGCCAGTGACTCGGTCATTGTTTCCAGTATCGCCTAGGAACCAGCGACGTCGGTGTAAGAACCATTGCCCCCGTCCGCCGAAGCGAATTTTATTTACCAATTCAAATATGAATGCTCGGTCATCTACACAGGCAGGAAAGAACGGCAGTAATGTCACCAAATGACCCAACACATCTCGATGTGGCTTAAGAAAGTGATAGGTGACACGTTTGTAACAGTTACGTCATCGAATGATAACACAAAAGATATTCCAACAGAAAAAATTGTCACTCCAACTCACGCATTTTAGGTTATCTAAAATATAATAAACAGAAACAGTAAAATGTACCAAGGTTCTAGCCATTCATACCCTCAAACCAGATCTTCGCAAACAAAGTTAATGTTCGGTTACATTGGCTTTGTCTTGATGATTGACCCTTCAATCGTTCGTTTTGTTGAATTGTTGTGTTGTGCTGTCCGTTGGGATTAGCGATTTTGTCTTTGTCACAAAGTTATCTTACTGACTATAAAAATCAGTTTGACTGCGGTACACGCATGTACAGATGCAGCGAAATGACCAGCAATACATTGTACAAACCAATGTTTCTGACTTCTCTATTCAAAAGTGCGAACCTCAATGTGTGTCACGGCAAAACTAGTTGAATAATTCAATCTGAAAATCCTTACCATGTGCTGCTCTCTGAAATTATACATTGGTACTTCAGTCCTGGTTGCATGATACAGAAATCACTGAAACACATAGTGACTGGATAACTTTACTCACCAAGATCATTGTATACTCCACTGGCATGAAGTTCAGAAATGAAAAAAGGAAGAGCCAAAAAAGAAAATATTTTCTAATTTTTGCTAGCTCATTACAACATCTGCTGAATACGGGCAAGAGCCCCATCGATCACCCATGTCACCTTTGAGTTAGTCGGCATGTGTTCGTGGGCTTCTTTGCCTAACCGTAGTAGTAATAACACCACAGTGCGTGAGTCGCTCAGACCCATGTATCTCTGTGCGCTTTGCGATAAATGAGAACAGTAAAGTCAATCGGATAGAAGTTACAGAGAATCAGAAGCACCAAACAAAACGATCAACAGATTGACAAATGGATCCTATACTCTGCCATACATATCAAGATTACCTATCCATCATTTACAATTTATTCCTTCAGAGGATTACATATTCCTCAAACACGTTTTTGGAATCCCTTAGCGCGAGGACTAATACAAAAAAATATCTAAGCGTTGCACATATGTCGGACGTATTTTAAAAGTTTGTTTTGCGCCTCAATTGTTTTCAGTAATGCATATATGCTTTGCATGCGATAAACCAAAGGAAGTGATTCAAAAGTTGCCATACTGATTTGTATTGCCTTCTGTTCCAATCCACAAATCGAACAAAAGGGGCAGGAATCATCAACATATATCGAATTAAAAATTGACGAGATTTGTCTTGTTTTTACTTCAATGTTTTACATCAAAGCATAACTCATGGAGGCTTATCTTTTGTTGCTACTGAACAGTTCTGATTTAAATGGAAACCAGTCTTTCAATTATTATTTAAAACAGTAAAATCAAAGATTTTTCCTTTCATTTTGTGTGTAATCTCGCGCAAACAAAGCACCATGAGCACGAGCTTATAGAACATATTCTGTTATATTTTAAGCTTTTAAAGCCAACCACTTCAAGTTTGACATTTCGAGATGTGTTAATTGCGGGGTAGGAAATCGAAACACAGAATCCATGAAATAATATTTTTTCCAAGGCAGCTTTATTGAACGATACGCGAATTACTATGACAAAATGGGGTATTTTTAAGGTAAAAGGCAAGTAACTATGATTTCCGGGTTAAAGCGTTGTATACTTCTGGTCTGGATTGGATTTCGTAACTCCTATTCTGGTTGGTTGACGAAGGTCAAAGTGGGAACAGGAATGAATTTTCATCCAATCAAATTACACCAGTGTGACGTGTCCCAACCTCGGACCACAAACTTGTGGACTATTTGAATGTTGAACGTTTTTCGCAAACCATAACAAGCTTCTCAGTATGCTATTGTAAACTCCGCCTATGGGTTTGCACAATGTCCAAATCCCGTTCTGTAGTTGAAGACTACAACCACGGACCCCTGATATCTATGTTATTTCAGCCGGATCCGATAGCTCAGATGGAACCTGAACACATAAACGGAACATCCAATCTACGTCAATCGAAACAGTTATGTAGTGGTGGCACTACCAGTACTACTGCTGCGCATCAGGTGACTGCAAACTGGCGTGCCAGACATCGAACAAACTACCGTGAACCGCTACTTAAAATAACCTATCTGACTTGTGCTACCCTAATCACAACAACGTTTATTGTGGAATGTATTTTGCTTCACCTCGTCATAATGCCCTACTGTCACGAGTCCGGATTTACACCGAACGAATGCGCCTACAAACAAGCACATGTTGTTCTGAATGCGGTAAAATGTGAGAACAAGTGTTCCAAAGATCGGTCCAGTTTTCGGTGTATTCGGGTGGTGGTGACCTACACGAAAATGGGACGAAATTATACGGCCAATTTGTTTGATAATATTGCCACATATCAACATTATCATACTCTCGGGGTAAGTTAAGCGTTGGTGTTACGCAATCGGGAAGTCCGAATGATGGACACCCAGGGGGGAGCAGGGTTTGTTCACTAATATCTGAACGCGAAAAGTAGAATAAGCAATATTATTTCAAGGCAAATTCGAAAACATAGAGAAATTCAGTTTGTCTTATTTATTGAGCCGTGAATCATCAGGTTACATCTGACATTTGCCTGATTAGTATAGCTGTTTCAAAACAAACAGTTTATATTTTACTCTTTACCAATTTTTATTATCCGACAGATAGCGTGTAATAAAAAGCTGATTCTAGAAGTTAGCATTATATTCAACGTAATCAAAACCATTTTAAAAGCAGTATTTATTTTCTGTGGTACGAAGACACACGTTCGGCAACTGATGCTGAAAGTTGGAATGACTAATATTGAGATCTCTGAACCAAAGTGGTTTTCATTTCCTGTGGCAGGAATGAATGTGAAATTAAGATTGATTTTCACGCTTCAACTTCTAATGAGGCGCACGCGTGTCAATACAGTCATAGTTGACGCGCACTTGAGTATCAGAGAAAGCCCAACTTTAAACAAAACACTGGCACTACCTTTTGAACTCTCAAGGGAACAACCAATTGAGTGGTTTCGCATGTAAGCTCGAGGGGCAACTATGAGGCCAAACTGATCAGCATTTGTATCTCAAACTATCAGAGTTCCAATAGAAAGATGAAAGGAGCACACCGGAGAATAGGAATGTTCATTCCATTCTAAATATCACAGGGTAAAGTAAACGCCATCATGAAGAATATTATTGCTGGTTTAGGCAATGGATTCGGAATATGTAAGTTGTTTGTGAAAGTGTACTTATAGAGTTATTGTTCCTCAACAGTGGAAGGCACTGGGAGCACAGGACAATGGTTTTGTGGTGCTGACCACTTAAACTATTCAAAGTGGCTCTTGGTAGTTCGCTACACGTCAACATTAAATGGGCGGGGGGGGGACAACAACGGACAAAACAAGACAGGAACCGAACAGTTGATGCACGGTTTTCAGGCTAGTTCGCATGATACCGATTAGGAAATCGGTGCCTAAAGAGCATTTTTTTGTTTTGTGTAGGCTGATACTACTAGTGAGCACCGATAAGTGCGAGTCACGTTTGGTTGGTGAATAAACTTCCATTTTTTGCAAATAGGTTTTGCTACCTATTTATTCTCGCTTAGGAATTAGAAATATATTTCCGTGGACAAATGAATAAGTAATTTTATCATGAAGTCAATTGTGAATTGGGTTCTCTTGGTGTCTCGTTTTCGTTCTCGTATCGTCGTATGTCCTAATGAACCTTATTGTGCGGATTGAAAGGAGGCATTTTTGTGGATGAAATTTTATTGTCCGATTTCTGTAATGTATTCTGGAGCTTAATGCTTGGAAAGGTTTACAGCTGTGTCTACAAATAAGAGGTTGTGTTACAGATAATACATTGTTTGTAACATGGCTATCTCAGTAAGAGTTTTCTGCAACAGTATTATCTTCACATTTCTGGACCTAATATTATTGTTATTTTATGAAACATTGGCCTTGTTTTCCTGAAATTTGTGGATTTTTATGGGAGACAACTTCATCAGTGATAGTGTTATGATGACGGTGCAGGAGTTCGGAAAACGCCATCATCTCCACAACCTTGGTGACTTTGTGCTCACTAAACAACTAGCGGCTTCTAAACCATTAATAGATTAATTCAGTTTGAGGTTTCTCTTTCTCTGTCGAACTTTTTCTCTTTCACCGGCAATAAATTTACGTGCAATGTAAATGTAATTCAACCACAACTTCACAAGAGTCAGTGACGTTCTGCCATTCTAGTCTATTTGTTAGCAAGAGACGATTGCCTTGATAACAAAAACTCATTTTCTTTTAGTGTTACTCAACCATAACTTTCGTAATGCGAATTTCATCCCCTTCCATCATGATTTCGTAAAACAACATAACGTTCGCAGATGCAACCCCACCTAAGGTATTTTATTAGTGATTTTGCTTCCTGAACGGTTGGACAAGCAGTGCAACATCGAATTCATCTAAAATCCTGGATTGTTAACCGCAACGAAGCTGAGTTAAACGACTGTAGAACTAACAATATTTATCTTGTAGTGGTCTTTCCAGAATTAATAACAAACAGTGCTACGAGGTCAATCCAAATTAAATAGCTTGGGTTGACTTCTGAAGGGACTCATTTCAAGATACTGTACTGGGTTACTTTTGATAATAACTCTCTGATTTGGTGTCTAAAAGTTCGCCTGATAAGCATTCAATATCGGCATATACTTTTATCGTCCAGGGGACTTACCTGTTTCGATTAAGTTACCCACTGGGATATACAATTTTTAAAACTATTCTTGGAGTAATGTTTCGAGGAAAAATAGCATTCATTGGTATGTAAAATTGTTCAGTGGTTAGCAGATTACGTCAGAGAATTAAGAGTATTAATTTACTCTAAAACGAGTCAAAGCATGCAGACACGCAAGACACGTACTTCCTTGGTTTGAGGGTACACTCGGAAAACAGAAATTATTCACGTTAAATATTTCAATCGAATATACCACCCCTGGTCATAGTTGATTGCCAAACATTGCATGTGATGGAAGCCCCCAGTGAGGCACCGTAGTTTGGGCAACATTCAAAATGAAAAAGGAGCAAGGGAGTCTGCAGTAGGCACCAGTTAAGATGCAGCGAAATCGTCCAGGACATAAATTGTGCAACGTTGCTATACTGGCTTCTCTTTTCAAAGGAGTTCTATGTATAAAGTAACTTTGTTTTTAACAGGTTTAAGTTGCTTTAAAAAACTTCTCCGGCAAATGTAACGAGAACAAGCAGCTTTGAGGCACTGTTTGGATAAAGATTCATTTTTAACGACGAGGCAAAAGATGATCCACATAATACATCTCAGATCATTTCCTCTCTCCTAAGATAGTAAATTATTCTTGATTACAACTTTCGACTATGGTTTAGGGCTGTTTAGTTAAAAGCCGAAATAATAAAATGCACTGTCAGAATGGAAATAGAAAACATTTTCACAGCTCTCTGCCTGACAATAAAACGTCACTTGGTTTTGGTTACACCTGGAAAAATGCAACATCTTAAATAGATCACCGCGTCAACGTAGTTCATTATTTATCCTGTTTAGGACAAAAATATTTGGATCCAATTACTTTCGCTTTGAAAATATGGCAGTTTGTGTGAAATGGTATTGTTATTTTTGTGCCATGTTTTTGTGAAAAATATACATTCCATAAGATTAAGTGTTAAGCAGCGAATTGGCAGACTCCAATTCCTTTGGTATTTTCTGGGTATCTTTTACTCGGTAACCATATCCTGGGTGTAGTGTCAATTGTTTTATGCACTAAGCGCCTGTTTGTAGTGACTCACCAATTGCAGCTTATAACTAAAAAAATATGCAAAACAGCTTTCTAATAAGTTGCATACATACAGAAAGAAGATAACTGTCGTGAGATGTATGGGATTCGTTTAATAATCTCAGTCGCTTACTTAAACCAAACAGGCACATAGCCCATGGGCTTGATCACTTACAGTAAACGGACGTGTACAAGCATACACAGATTAAAGGTGAAATTCGTCGTGTATACTCCATTACTCACATGATACAAAGATTAATTAACATAAATGTAGAACTGGATTTACACGGTAAGTAGATTGATGGTATCGAAAACAGCGGGCGATTTAATCGAATAAGCAACGCTATACTAATTTCCCAAAATTTAGCATTGCAATTACGTAATACTGCTTTGAAAGACGAATTAGGGTCAACTGTGGGTGTTTTGCCATGATATGTTTTGCAACAGATGATTTTGGGTTTCTTGTGATCACTTAACCATCGATTATCGGTTGCGTCATCGATTTTCCCAACCACTTTGGAATACCTTCCGTGAGACTTGACGGGTTGCTCTCCCTATGTATGCGTCACTGCAAATGCAAGTGAACTGGCATACAGTGTGTGAGACGAAACCGATTTGCCAGCCATGTCTACGCTTCTCCAAATAAAATCCACGAGTGGGGGCAGAGTCTGAGTTGAAAAGGAGGGAATGTACGGTCTATAGAGCTGACCTCAACTTATGGCGCACATCATTGTAAATATGGTTACCTTTGACCGCGGATCTTATGCAGATGGCCTTTAAGTTAATATGTTTTGGTTGGATTACCTATTGGAAATGATCTACTGTGAGCATCTATAAACCTCTCTGGGTAATCATTGCTTATCACGGTTCTCCTTAAGAAATCCTCTTCTTCCTTTATTGTATCAGGATAACAAATGATTCTTGCCGGATGAAATAGAGTTCTCACAAGCCTACGTGTGTAAGTCAAGAGAGAAAGGCCCAATCCCATCACTCTGTACTGATAAAATAGATGAAGGTGACTTAATGCTCCGAATTTCTAATAACTGTTTTTCATTCAACGAGGGTGTTTATCCTGGTCGAAATAAGTATTCTTGATAGCTTTTCTTTCATGCGGTGCAAACTAATTAGGTCGGTTAATGAAAATTGATAAAACATTTGTCCAACTCTACTCACGTGAATTGCCAAATCTTGAAAGAAGTAAACTAAAATGTAGAAACTGACCTTCGAAAGTTAATTTTGAGTTGTGGAACTTCCTGTACTTTTCTCTGCCTACAGTTAAAGACCAACGACAACTTATTTGAGAGGCGCATAAATCAGACGAATCAGTTCGTGAATTGTGTAAATGTTACGATTCAAGCACGAACAAAATTTAGTGCAATATCAACAGAATTTCTTCACCACTGCAGCTAAGATCACTTGAGGTGAAGCCGTTAATGTTACTTTTAAAACTGAATTACCAGCAGCAGTTGCGAAATTGAGAAATCGCACAGGTTAATGGCATTTGACTAATAGATGGTAGAACATAAGCGGATATTGCTACAGGTATATTAAGTCCGTATTAAGGCCATATCGTATTCAATCCCATGAATAGGACTCTAAATACTAATGGTTTGTAGGAACAACTATGATGGAA